TATTGGGGGGCTGCGGGGCCGAAGGCCCGGAAATCAGAATGAATCCGCAGCGCGTCCCGTTCGCAATGCGAAATTACCACTGCGTTGAATCGTTGGCACCGACGGCGCAGCGTCGCTGCCGATCCGACTCCGCAGGCGATGCCACATTGCAACGGCCCCGACAGCGACGCGCAGATCAAGTTGCTGCAAGAAGAACTGCGAACCACGAAGGAGAGGCGCGTGAATGCGATGAGCCAGAACGTCGTCCCCAGCGAAATGTAGGCGACAAGCCAAACCAAATTCAAACAGAAGTGCCAACGCAATCGGCAGGCAATTCGCGCTGCAAGGGGGACGGAGACTTCGACGGCCAGCGCCAGTGCACATACCGTCCTGTTAGATACTTCCACCAGTTGCAATCATACACATAATAGGATCCTGTCTTCCAGTCTCAGAATCCAAATCCGAATATTGACGTCCTGAGCATCAGCCAGGCCACCCGCGCAGATGCAGTCCCCGGAGCGCCGAGACCTGCCGCGCGGGCGGGCAACGCAGTCGCTGGGTCCGGCGCGGCACGGTCTGCACCAATGAAACGGAGCTCAGGAATGATGACAGCCGGGCCTTGGCGCGCGGGGCAGTGTACCGAGCGGGCGTCGGTGTTCTGCGAAGCCTGCAGGTGGCGTGTGCGGCGCAAGATGCGGGGGCGCTGTGGGCGTTCAACTCGATCACCGCGCGCGAAGGCCTCGATGCAGATGGGACATCCCCGGTCGTCGCCATCGAAGAGCGCGACGACGTGGGTCGCGGACGGCGCGACAGCCAGCGCTGGGGGTGGACTGGAGAAGGCTTCCATCCAGCACAGCGCGGCTCGTCGTCGCTGCCCGTCCCGTTGTCGTAAGAAAGGCTCAAATGCAAGCTGGGCGCTGTGGGGCTTGTCGAGGTGTCGTCGTTTTGCGCGGTCGAGTGCGGGGCCTGCTCCGCGTTCGGATCGCGCGCCGCTGGGCGCGCAGGCGTCGCGGCTGGCGAACCTCATGGCCACTCCCCCAGATGGCTGGCTCACGTCACTGGGTTCGCTGGGAACCTCTGGCACCAGTGGTGGCGCGGCTACGGGCGCGAACTGCGGCGGCCACGTGGAGCTCGATCCACGTGGCGCGCTGATGCCGAGCGCTGAGATCCAGGGCACTTTGGCCCAGCCCGGCAACTGCGCATCAGCAGATGGGGTAGCGGGCACAGCGGCTCGGGCATTGATGTCGCATGCCCAGTCGCGCCCCTGTTGCGTTCCAGCGGGGATGCACCGGCCACTCTGGGCCTTCGCTGCGGCGACTGTTCTGGCGGTGCTGCTGCTGCTGGAGCTGCGAGTGCTGAAGGTTCTGAGTTCCCCATTCCTGCCGCGCGGACTGCCGGCGTCGTTGCCCTATCCGTCGGCCGAGCAAAGTCCTGTCGCGCGCGGCCCGCGAGGTCGCCCACCCCCCAGCGCAGTTTGGAAAGTAACGTTTCAAAGGGGGGTGGGCGAAACCGATGAAGACGACGACGCACCCACCGCGCTTGACAAGCGGATCCGGCCACGGCCTACCAGGGGCCGGGGGGCAAGGCACTGAGAACTGCTGGTGCGGTTGCTGGCCGCGAAGTTGCCGAAGCTGGACTCGGCTGGCCGTCGTTCCAGGGGTCACCGCTCTGTGCGGGGCCACCGCCATTGGGTCCCGGAACCACGAGATCTGGAACCCCGTAGGTGCCCCTGGTCGCCCAGTTTATAAGCTGCTGGCCCAGGCGCTCCGCGGTGTCCCAGGTGCGTGAGTGGCGAGGATGCCGGCGCCGGTGGTGGCGGTGCGGCTGAGGCAGGGGCGCCAAGGAAGAAGGCGCGCCTTCCTTGCCGGCGCCGACGGGTGCAGTCGCGCACGAGGCGCTCCTCTGAGTCGCACTCGTGGAGCTCGAGACGCATCCCGTCTGGGCCCAACGGGTTTCCTGGTCGGCCATGCCCCAGCCCGCCGGTCCGACGCGCGCCCCTTGCCGCGCCCCTGCCCCCCCGAAGCTGGCGAAGGTTTCGCGGAGGTCGTTGTCGGACAAGTCGGCCAGGAGGGCGCGGCTGCCTTCTCCGCGGCCTATGCCCGCGCTTTCGATGACCCTCCGCGCACAGCGCGTGGGCTCGTTGTCACCGGACTCGGCGCGCTCGCGGGCCGAAAACACCGCGCGCCACGCTGCGCCATCGGAACTCCGCGCATTTCGGGATCGCCGGCAGCGAATTCTTCGCCGAGCGAGCGAATGTCCTCGGAGTCGGTGCCCAAAGTCAGAAGACGCCGCTGGGCGCGCCGCCCGAGGTGCCGCTGATGTGTCGGCTTTGGCGGCAGCTGGTGCTGCATGCGGCCTCGGTGCCGCTCCACGGGCCGATTGGCCCGTGCCATCCCAGCTCAATCCGGCCCCAGCGCCGCGCGCCATGACCCTGACCGCGCAGAGGTGCACCCGCGATGAACGCATTGTGTCGGGGCGCATGCGCGGCCGAAGCGAGATTGCCCGGCCCATCACGCGCGCCAGCTATGGGGCGTCCATCGGGCAGGCCAAGTTGCGGCGCTGCAGGGTCAAATCGAACTGAACGTTCGACGCGCTCGCGGCGCGCAGCGAGAAGGATCTGCAGCCCTTGAAGCCGATCATGAACTGATGAACACGCTGTGCTCTGTCCTGGAGAAAGTCGAACCTGACAGGGGGCTTGTCGATGCACTCCTGCGGCAATCGGACGAAGTCCATCAGGGCCTATGCCCCCTGCGCGCGCGCCCCCCCAAGCAGGCCCCACCGCTCGCCCAAGCTGTGCGCGAGGTAGGTCATGGGCGGCGCTGGGTTGCCGCGCGGGGACAACTGGCCGCCATTCCGCCGCGCACTCGCGAGCCTTGCCAGTCAAGCGATGCGAAAAGTAGGCGGCTTGGCAAAACTCGTTGAAGTCTGAGTTCGCCACTGACCAGATCATCGCCTCCCGCGCCCGCCGTTGGACAGGGCGCGCGCGCGTGCTGCTCAGGCCCCCAGGTGCGGAGGCGTCGCGCGTCGCCGATGCCGCCGCCGCCTGCGCCCGCGCAGGCGATGCTGCTGATGGCAGCGACCGCGGCCACTCCGATGGCCTTCCATCCAGTGTGGAGCCCCCCTCCAAGTGTCGAGGAGGCGCGACAGCCCTCGCACTTACCAACAGCGATGTTATGATAATGATCCTCGAAGCCCCCTGGTGCGCTTCTCCTCATCGGCGCACTGTGTCTTTTCTGCTGTCGCGTGGTTGGCGCGCGGACTGCACTCGGAGCACCCCGCCACAGAGCGGCGAGAGAACTCGTCGCGCGTCGTATCGTTACTGTGCTGAGCACCGCCAACTGCACGATAGTCCAGATGAGTACGCATGGGGATCCAAGTCTGCCAGTAAGCAGGACTGCGCGGGTAACGCTGAGGGTCCTGCCTCGAAGAACCGATAACGAGTAGCCCCAAGCTTGCGTAACTGTTCCCCAGAGGGATGGCAACATAGTTGCCCCGCTCGCCTCTGCATAACCTTTCTTGCCTGAGCGCGCTTCCCCCCCGGCTTTCACGACATAGTTGCGGAAGACTCGGGACGCCGCGCAGACGCCGACGATGTGACCGTTGGATCGAACGGCTGCTTGACATAGTCGGCAACACCCACATGCGGATGCCATGAGGGCGGTGCGTCCTTTTGCTCGTTCCCCTCGGGCTTCCGCAACACAGTTGCGAATAGCTCGGGGCCCTGCGCCGACACCGTAAGCGTGGAACTCGGATCGGTCGACGCAGTGACGCTGACGACGGCACTCACAGACGAGCGTTGTGACGACGAAGGTCCCTCGAGCATCTCGAGCACAAATCGAAACTGCCCGACGGGGGGGCAGACTGGGGCGCAGGGGGCGCCGTCATTGAAGTCGTAGTGCTTGAATTGGTATTCGCGCAGCTCCTGCTCTGCCGGTCCCGGCGGCTGGGCGAAAGGCGCCATGCCGTCCTGTCAAAGCGCAGCGCCGGCCCGGGCGAAGAAAATGAAACACGAGAACGCGGAGGTAGAGCGGGTCGACGTAGACGTAGACGCCGATGTAAAACGGACGCCGTGGGCGCGGGACCTTTCCGCGCGGGCCATGGCGGCTGTGGAACATGGAACAGCGAGCTCCGCGACCAGCTAGAAAATCAAAGCGGAGTGTGGGAACGGATGTTTGCTGCGAAGCGGACTGTGCAGCGGAAGGGGTGTGTAATATACACTGATTACAGGGCGCGGTGGGCTAGCCTTGAGCCAAATGCCCTTGGCCTGGCCAAACCCTGCTGACCCGCCCCTGATATGCTACATGTACTGACGATCTTCCGCTCGAGCACGGAAACGAGGAGGAGGGGAGGAGGAGGAGGAGGAGGAGGAGGAGGAGGAGGAGGAGATTGAGCGATGCCGCAATCGCTCGGGGAACCAAAGGCCTGCAGCTCGACACGCGAAGGAGGAGCGGGATTCACAGAAGGAAGCGGAGAGGGAGAACAAACAGAAGGAGAAGGAGCAACATATGAGAATGAGGGGAAAGAGGAGATGGGGGACGAGGGGAAAAGGAAGGGGCAGGCGGAGGTGCCCATCTGTCGTCAAGACGCAGGATGGCCCCTTCGTCCTTCTGTCGTTCGTCTCTGAAGCGGGTTGTAGACGGGCGGGAACAGCAGAAGGACCACGAGGGAGGACAAGGGGGGGTCAGGAGGAGCGGCAGCAGGGAGGCGGGGGGGGGGGACAGCAGGGAGGTAGGGTGGGGGAGCAGCAGCAGCAGCATGTGGGGAGGACGCAAAGCGCGAGGGGGAGCAGAAGTAGGACGACGAGGAAGAAGAGGAGGAGGAGGAATGTGATGCGGAGGGGATGGAAGGAAACGGGGAAAGAGAAGGAGGAGAAGGAGGAGGAGGAGGAGGAGGAGAAGCAGCAGAATCGGCAGCAGCATCAGCACCCAGCAGAATCGGCAGCAGCATCAGCACCGAAAGTAGCGGAGTGGAAGGATGAGACACGAAGCTCAGCGCAGGCGGCTGGCGCACCCCCCGGCGGCTCAGCGCGTGAGGCTCAACGGCGGAGGCATCATGGCCGTCAGCATGCGCAGCTGGGCCTCTTCCACGACGCGGTCACGACCCTCCAAGGTCACGTCCTCAGCGTCTGGCCACGCTCGCTCACGGCCTCTCTCTTGCGGGCGGCGAAGAGACCCATAGGAGGCCACATGCGAGCCCTGCCTCCCCCCCGTTTCGCACTCGAGGGGGTGGTGGTGGCCAGGGCTCGCGCGACATGTCCTGACCCGCACCCCGCGCCCCCGCGGCCTGGATCCCGGGCGGCGCAGCCCGGTGGCTGCGCGCCCGCACACGGCACGCGGCCGCGCGGGGCACCCGCGAGCAGCACGCCCCGCTGCCACGGGGGCGCGGCCCGGGGACACACACACACACACACACACACACACGGATCTCTGCGCGCGGGCCTCGCCGCTCGAGGCGACGGCGCTGCTCGCAGGGGGGCGGTTGGCGGGGCACGCGAGGGCCCAGGGCGCCTCTGGGTCCGCAGGCCTGGCCCGACGCCGGCGCGCTCCCCCCCCCAAGCGCCGGCCGCAAGCCCGGCCAGCGCCGACGGCATGCTCGAGGCGAGAGCGAGGTCAGTGCAGGGCTGGCGCTCGGAGGAGGGAAAGGTACACGTGCCTCTACCCCGTCCCGGGTTTCCCCCTTTGGGGGGGCCTCCTGGGCGGCCCTCGTCGCCACCGCTGGATTCGCCTCGGAACCCTGGTCAGAACGCACCCCGGGAAGAGGTCCCAGGAGTAGAGTAGGGGCCCGACCAGAAGAAACCTTCAGCAAGAAACCCAACCCTGAGACCCCAGGACGTTCATTCATTTTTGGTATGGGAACGTCACGCTTTCCATAGCAAGACCATCGAAACCCAAGACACCGAGGGCACCCTGGAGGCGAGCAGGGTGTTTCTTGGCATGGGCCCCCCCAAATAGCGGCATCGCTGCCTCTTGATTTCCGCAGGCTCAGGGTACGTTTGAGGATGTCCAGCGCATTCTGCAGCCCTCGACCTTTTGCAGCCCGTGTGGGAGCCCTGGAGCTGCCGGGCACCTCTCGTTGGCAGGCCCCCTTGCCCGTGCTCACGGCGGTCGCTGGCAACGGGCTCCTGCCGCCGCGGCGGAGGGCCCAACCGCACCAAGTTCAGACCACATGCTGCTCCACGTTCTGGCAGCTTTTGGCACTCCCCGCGGAACCGCGCGTCAAGAGGACGAGGAGGAGGAGGAGGAGGAGGAGGAGGAGGAGGAGGAAAAGGAGAAGGGAAGAGGAGGAGAAGGAGGGAAAAGGAGGAGGAGAAGGAGGAGAGAGGGAGAGGAGGAGGAGGGAAGGGAGGGAAGGAGGAGGAGGAGGAGGAGGAGGAAGGGAGGAGGAGAAGGGAGGAGGAGGGAGGAGGAGGAGAAGGAGAGGAGGAGAAGGAGGAGAGAGGGAAGAGAGGAGGGAGGAGAGGAGGAGGAGTGGAGGGAGGAGGAGGAGAGGAGGGAGGGGAGGAGGAAGAGAAGGAGGAGGAGGAGGAGGGAGGGAGGGAGGAGGAGGGAGGGGGGAGGGAGGAGGGAGGAGGAGGGAGGAGGAGGAGGAGGAGGAGGAGGAGGAGGAGGAGGAGGAGGAGGAGGAGCAGGAGGGGGCGTGTCAAGACCTCCTGCTCCTCTGCATGCCTCCCGCCTGCGACGCTCGGGGGCCTCCCAGGGCGCCCCCCTCGTCCGCCTCGGGGCGTGCCGGCCCGAGCGCTCCGTGACAGGCTCGGGGGGCTCGGCCCTCTGGGGCGGGAGGCGCACGCGGCGGGGCGCACGTGCAGGGCGCTCGGAGGCCGATCGCGCTGGAGATGCACACGCGGCGGGGCGGCGCCCACTGCCGTTACGGTAGGTGCGTGCGACGTCGGCACGCGCTGAGGTGGTCTGTGGTGGGCAGATTGTCCACCACCGCCACAAGATGTAGGACGGAGGAGAAGGGCGGGGGAGGAGATCCTCCTCCTCCTCCTCCTCCTCCTCCTCCTCCTCCATCTGCTACATATGGTAGTGGTGGTGGAAAATGGGCCCATCATTTTTGATACCGCGTCGATCGTTCAGCCTAGAATCGATCGCGGTCCCGATCGTTCGAGGTCGAATTCCGTCGGGTCCAGGGGCGTCACCGTGTCCCTCGGTGCTCCCACGTCGCAGAATTCCGCCTTGAACGCCTTCGCCAGCGTCGCCGGAGCGCCAGCGCCGCATGAAATGAACCTGCCGTACGAAGGACGAGTGCTGGAACGACATGCGGGCCACAAGTGTACAACAGACACATACGATGAAGGCACCTTGCCGTAAGGCATCTTGGTGCGCATTCCTCGTCGATCTTCGAAGGCCCTGATTTGCCCCAGAGAGTCGGGGGGACAGCAAGTTCCAGCGGAACACCTGCTAGCCAACCGATTTCTTAATAGATGTGCCTACTGTATCCAGCGCTCGCCCAGGCTGGTCACGCCACGCGTGTCCAGCTTCCTGGCAAGTCGGGGGCGTGATGCAACCAAAGCGGGTGCGAACAACCGAAGGATCTCTGGTGCAGACCATGCCACAGGGGGTCACCAGCAAGGGGGATCGCCATCTCCTCGAGGAGGGCCCCATGAGGACATCCCACAGCCTTTCAAGACGGTTTCTCTACGAAAAACACGGCCAAAGCAACTCCTCGATCATCGACCCTCGATCCTCAGGAGGAGGCGGCGACCTCCCCAAAGGCGACCCCTTCTGGGACATCCTGGAAGAACCTGGGGGGTCTCTGCAACAGCGCAGCGAATCGAACACCGAGCGGTGCGTGTAGAAGGAGAAAGAAAGCGCTCCGCGCGGATTTCTTGGATCTCCGCTGGACCCCTCTCTCTGGCGCGCGGAGCGCGGCAGGGGCTGCGCCGGAGGCGCCGCAGGGGGGGAGCCCAGCGCGGATCCGAGAAATCCGCGCGGAGCGCCACAAGTTGATGGTTGTGTTGTTTTTTTCTTCCCTTCGAGCGTGGACAGATCAGCCGGCAGGAGACTGTTTTTTTCTTGGGGGGGGGTACTGGCTGTTGCCCGAGGGGGCGGAGGGGTTTGGGCCGGCGGGTAACGGTCACGGCGACCGCGGCGTGAGCACCACGCCATGCCTGCTGAGAGGAGGGGGTCCGCCCTGCACCCCTAAAAAACGTACGATCGTTGGCGTTACCCCAGGGGGGGGGATTTGGGCGGGGGGGGGGCGGGCCCGGGTAGCAATCGTTACCCGCCAGAGGGCAGGAAAATCTTCCTCCATCCCTTGAGTGGGTTTGCGCTCCTGTGCGTACACAGGGCACACTCTAATCGCACGTCTGGCCGGCGATGTCTTGGGGCGAAGGCCACCAGCATCCCGGCCAGAGAGCGCATAACCCACGAGGGCGGGAGGGCTGGGAATTGAAGCAACCCACAGGCAGCCGAAACTGCAGCACTCGGCGGTGCAAGATGGCGCCCAGCGCCACCAGGAATAAACAATTACCTGCAGGTGCAATTGGCCTTCAACCTTGAACAGCATAGCACCGGCGACGAAGGACCCACGAGCAAGCCTTCAACCTTGAACAGCATAGCACCAGCGACGAGAGACCGGCCTTCGACGCGCCTCACGCGCCCTCGAGGAGCAGACTCCCAATCACAGTTCCCGCCAGCTCCCGCGGAGCCGCCAAGCGTGCGAGGCAGGGTTAGCTGCTCAGGAGCACGACGCAAGGGCAGATACGCCTGCTCCCTCAGGAGAGCACCAGGCATGTGAGACAAGCCTGCTTGTCAGTAATTGGTCCTGTGCCACGAACGCAAACCCCAGAAGCCCCCAGAGGCCAAGAGGAGAGGAGTGGATGACGACACGCTCCGTCGTCATATTTTCCTGCCCCCCAAATCGCTTCGCGATTTGGGGGCTAAGAAAATCTTCCTCCATCCCTTGAGTGGGTTTGCGCTCCTGTGCGTACACAGGGCACACTCTAATCGCACGTCTGGCCGGCGATGTCTTGGGGCGAAGGCCACCAGTATCCCTGTGCACCCCAGGACATCGCATCCTGGACAGACACATCCTGTGCAGACGTGGAAGCCCAATGCACACAGGTGTGTGTGTGTGTGTGTGCGTGTGCATGTGTATGCCCGCGAAGCGACAATCAAATTCGCACACGCAGTTCCTCTGATTGTTTTCCACCCTCAGTCCTCGCCAGAAGACTCGGAGAATTCTATTAAGAATTCTGCTTCCTCCAGCGTGCCGCGGGCTTTGGCCGAAGCGTACGCGAAAGCCGTCACGCCCCTCCAGCCTCCCGAATAGAAAAGCGCTGCCGGCCCATTGGCCTGCACAACTTCTGTGGCCCATCCGCGGCGGAACGCATGAGTGCCCCAGGATCGCGCGTCGGCGAATCCTAGAGCTTGCGCAGCGAACTTTAAGCAAGCCGGCGATTCGTTATACGAAATACTCGCGAAAGGGATCCCGCTGTCTGCCAACCTTCGCCTCAGCACGCATGCGCCGCAGAGCGTCTTGCCCTGCAACTTGCAAATGCACCGGCGCGAGACCTCCACCGGCTCAGCACAACATTTGCGATTGAAGAAAGTTATCCGGACAGCTTCTGTTCCCCCTGCAACGGTCTCAATGACAACTTGCGCCCGAGGACGGCCCAACTGCAAAGTTTCACCATATCTGAGACAGAAGTGCCGAGATACGACCCATGATTCACCAATGTCCTGCTGATCATTGCTGACACACCATTGCGCCAACTTACGGGTCTGATCAGCAGTCGCACGGATTTTTACTCGCCGAATGGCTCTTCCAGATTTCTCTGCTCCACGAGCGACGCGGCTTGTGTCGAGCAGTGCCCCTAAAGGACTACGCATCCATCGCAATATCGTTCTCAAATGCGAAAGGTTTTTACCAAGTGAAGAAGCACTGCGAAAGAGAACGACAAACGCATCCACTTGCGTATCTGCTCGGGGCCAGGGCTCAAGCTTGTGTAGAATACAATTCTGTCCGTCAAGGCGAAGCGCTGAAGCGTAGCCCGAAGCACTCGCCTTTCAGCCACAGAATTCAATCCACATCGCTTCCTCCTCGAAACTTTCGCCAGATCTGCTCTGAGACCGCCGTTCCGTTTCTGCCCGGGGCGTTTGCGCTGGCGGTGCAAGCAGCAGAGCATCGACAGCAGCCATTGCGCTGATTGCGTCGGCCAGAATCTTTGGCGGAGGCAAATGTGCAGATCGCCGCGCTGCGGCGCATAAGGCCGAAGCTGCCATGGCTCTCCGCTGCTTCCCTGAATCTCCTGGTGCTGCTCGTCTCGCCGGCGGTGGACCGGCAGCGGGAATTGGCTTGGCCTGCGCCCGTGGTGGCGCGGACGGTGTAGCACTGACATTCGATTGCGAACATGCCCAGAGAAATCTGTCTACGAAATCCTTGGTGTAATCCTGCAGCGGCGTCCAAATTTCAGTTGCCTCACAGATTGAAAGGCCGAGGAAATCAGACGCATGCGCTGCGCCCTCCTGAAGCAACCCACAGGCAGCCGAAACTGCAGCACTCGGCGGTGCAAGATGGCGCCCAGCGCCACCAGGAATAAACAATTACCTGCAGGTGCAATTGGCCTTCAACCTTGAACAGCATAGCACCGGCGACGAAGGACCCACGAGCAAGCCTTCAACCTTGAACAGCATAGCACCAGCGACGAGAGACCGGCCTTCGACGCGCCTCACGCGCCCTCGAGGAGCAGACTCCCAATCACAGTTCCCGCCAGCTCCCGCGGAGCCGCCAAGCGTGTGAGGCAGGGTTAGCTGCTCAGGAGCACGACGCAAGGGCAGATACGCCTGCTCCCTCAGGAGAGCACCAGGCATGTGAGACAAGCCTGCTTGTCAGTAATTGGTCCTGTGCCACGAACGCAAACCCCAGAAGCCCCCAGAGGCCAAGAGGGGAGGAGTGGATGACGACACGCTCCGTCGTCATATTTTCCTGCCCCCCAAATCGCTTCGCGATTTGGGGGCTAACAAAAGACGCTCTCCAGATCCAGAGGAGACACGGGGTGCTGGAGGGGCAGCTCCAGGGTGCGGCCCCTCCCGCAGCACTGGCGACGTCGCGGTTCTTTCGTTTACCCCCCCCGGCACGGGCACTACGAGCTCTTCGCCTCTCACCCCTGCAGCAAGATCTGCCTCCCCAATATCGTTATCTCGCTGTGTGCGCCTGCGCGTGGGCGCGTGGGCGCGTGGGCACGTGGGCGCGTGCGCGTGCGCGTGCGCGTGTGCGCGTGCGCGTACGCGTTCGCGCGCGCAAGCATGTGTGTGTGTGTGAGTGTGTGTGTGTGGGTGTGTGGGTGTGGGTGTGGGTGTGCGTGTGCGTGTGCGTGTGCCTGTGCCTGTGCCTGTGCCTTTGCGTGTGCCTGTGCCTGTGCCTGTGCCTGTGCGTGTGCGTGTGTGCGTGCGTGCGTGCGTGCGTGCGTGTCCGTGGGTGCGTGAGTGCGTGTGTGCGTGTGTGCGTGTGTCTGTGTGCATGTGTGCGTGTGTGCGTGTGTGCGTGTGTGTGTGTGTGTGTGTGCGTGTGTGTGCGTGTGTGTGTGTATGTGTATGTGTATGCGTGCGTGCGTGCGTGCGTGAGTGGGCGTGTGTGTGTGTGTGTGTGTATGTGTGTGTGTGTTTGTGTGTGTGTGTGCGTGCGTGCGTGCGTGCGTGCGTGCGTGGGTGCGTGCCTGCGTGCGTGACTGCGTGCGTGCGTGCGTGCGTGCGTGCATGCGTGTGTATATGTGTCGGGGTGTGTAGGTGTGAATGTGTGTGTCTCTCTCTCTCTCTCTCTCTCTCTTTCCCCCGCGCAGTTTTGGGGGAAGGAGGAGGATGAGGAGAAGGAGGAGGAACGATCTCCGATCCATGTTTGGGCAACGTCGAAAAGGAGAAGGAGGAGGAAGGCAAGAAAGGGGAGTGGGCACCGTGGTTGCCAGATAATGTTTCGCTGTACGTGTGATCCTGGATGCTTGGAAGCGGCCGCCCAGTGCCCGACATTGCGAAGACTGTCCACCCCGTGTGTTTCAGAACGTGGGAGGTCTGGGGGCATTCCGAGAATCTCTGGAATGAGTTGTTCCAATCCTGAGGCTGCCTGCCAATGTCCGATCAGGCGATCCGGTCATGGCTGGCGATCAGGATTGCAGCTGCCACGCCAGTCGCAGCCAGCGCGCGACCAGCAGACACTGAGGCAGGGACTTGCCACTCCTGCCCGAAGTCCTCTCGGGTTTCCTGAAGGAGGTCGGAAACACATGCCTGATCATGTGAGCGCTTTTTTATTCGGCGTTTCGACTTTGGCGGGAAGGGGGGGGAGGGGGGGGTTCTGGCTCCGAACTTCTGCTTAGTGCGACCGTTTGGGACCGTGCGTCCGATGGGGGAGACTCCACCTGCTCGAAACAGGCGACAAAAACAGCCGAGATCTACTCCATGTTGGGGGGGGAGGGGGGGTTGCGAGGGCCCGCGCCGATCGGCAGAAAAATAACATAAAAAACGATCTCATGCCTGAACATGGACGAGCTGTCTGAACAAACTGGGCGAACTCCTGCCTTCTTCGTTGGAGGCCAGCGCCCTCGCCGTGCCCACTTGGGTGTTCCGACAAACGAGCCTCGAAGAAGAAGGCCCTCCACGGGCGAGTCTTGCCAGGCTGGCTGGTCAGCCCCCTGCGCTCGCCCCGCAGGCCTCGATCCACTACGGTCCCGCGAGGAACCCAGGGAGGAGAAGGAGGAGGAGGAGCCGTACGAATGGCGATCTCCGTCTCTTCCCCCCCCCCCCCCGCGACGAGCGACGGAGACGAATGGACGTCCCCCACGAGGACAGGATGACATCACGCGATGCCCTACGCAGTCCGCCAGAGGGGCGCACATCCAGCCTGCCGTGCCAAGCGCGCCAAACTGTTTCGCAGGATCTGCCGCGGGCAGCTTACGCGCAGGTGTCTTCGAGACATAGCCAAGATCTGCAGCCATGCGTGTGCAGTTCTCTTTCTCCCGGTCTCCGTCGTCACGTCGACCTGGCAGCCGAGCTCGCTGGCCAGATCCTCGAACCACCTTTGGCCCAGGTCGGCGACAATGCTCTGCGGCACCGGGAAGGTCTGCGTGACCGTGTCTGGTGCCGCTGCTTTTCTCGCCCTCCTCTCCTTGATGGCGTCTCCGATCTGCACCGCCCTGTAGAGCATGGCAATCATCTGCTTCTTTCCTTTCTTCCCCTTGGCTGGCGCGGCCACGCCGCTGAACGGAATGACGTTCTCTCCGTATCCTTCGCCTTTCGGGTCGGACGAAGTGGGGGGGGGGTCACACGGCAGGGGCTAGCGAATCAGCTCGCGCAGCCGATCTCTGTGGCGCCCCTCGGCGCCGCACGGCGCCAGCAGAGCGCAAGGAGACGGCCAGGCGATGGCGCCGAAACTGGCGGAATGCGGCAGGTTTCGTCTCCCCCCCTTTTCATACGCCCCCCCTTATCATCTGCCCAGAGACGGGGGCCAGGCTGGCGAAGACGGTGGCCGCCACGGCGACATCCGCACGGCGGCGGCGAGGAAGAGAAACAAGTGGCATGAGGATCAGGTGACTCTTGATTTCTTCCGCCGGGGGTGACACGTGTTGGCGGGGGGGAGCGCGGTCGCGGGGGGGGGGAACGGTGACGGCCTCCGTGGCGTGCACCCGCCAGGGTGGGTCCGCGACGAGGATGAGGAGAATGAGGTGGAGGAGGTGGAGGAGGAGGAGGAGGAGCAGGAGAAGGAGGAGGAGGAGGAGCAGAAGGAGGAGGGGGAGGAGGGGGAGGAGCGGGAGGCGTGTGCAGCACAGTCCATGTGTACACGACAAAGCCCAGCGACGGCGTGCAGCACAGCGCCGCCTCGCCTTGTCTACACCACCAGTGCACACCACAGCGCCTGTGCACACCACATCGACCATATGCACCACAGCGCCTGTGCATACCGCAAGTCCTCCGTGCACTACCAAGCCTGCGAGCACACCACAGCGCCAAACGAACCAGCGGGAACACCAGCAGCTTGCGAGCACCACGTTGCGCATGTGAACACAACAGTGCACCAGAGACGACCGCATGGCAGAATGGCGCAAGCCTCATATTTGAATGCCCTTCTGGCCGAGCGCCCCGGGACAAAAAGGCGCAGAGGGAGGACGTGGGAGGACTCGGATGGACGTGGGAAGCGGTGGGAATAGACGGGGGGAGTAAGGAGCTGGTGGGAAACGAAGTACGGGAGGCGGGAGGTGGGGGGGGAGGTAGAAGGATGTGGGGCGCCGGCTGTACGGTAGGTCCGTGTCGTGATGCCTGGGAAATTGGTTTCTGGCACTGCCTGGATCGCTCAATAGTGAACGATCCGAACAACCGGAAGCTCTTGGCCCAGTCTGGAACCATAATTCCGCACCGCGGGTTCGTTTCTGAAAACCCTGGGCCCCCCCCCTCTGGCGCGGCGTAACATTGAACGCCCGCGCTGGGGTCGCCGCCACGCCTCTCCTGTGCCAGCGAACTGTCTGCCGCCGAAGGCACCAATGAACAGCAACGAGAGACCATCAGGCCCCCCTGACACTGAGGCCACCACCAGGCTGTGAACATTCTGCTATCTTGCTCCCTCCCTCTTCCCACCTCCTACTCCCCCCCTGCGCCTCCTCCTCCCCATCGACCTGCCCCTAGTCCCCCGATATCATCCTGCTGCACCGCAGCGCTTGCCTACGCAACACCTGTGTACACAACAGCAGCCGCGTGCACCAACCACAGCGCCTGTGTACACCGCAGTGCCTGCGTGCATCACAACGGCTGCGAACACCGCAAGGCTTGTGCACACAACGGCAGCCATGTGCACCGCAGCGCACGCGTACGCCACAGTGCCTGTGTGCACCACGGCGCACGTGCACACCACAAAGCACTGGCCCTGCGTGCCCGTCGATGGAGCGCTTTTAAATGTTCGCGGCCATCACGCGCGTTATGTGGAGAGCGAGGGGGAAACATGACGTAAAGACCCACCCCCCCGGCGTGTGGATCCGGCATCACAGCGCCTGTGCGCATCACAGCGAGCACCGCAGTGCGCAGCACAGTCTGCACCGCCGCAGCCAAGTGCACCACATCGCCAAAGCAATGCGCAGCGCATACGTGCACTATCGTGCAGCACAACACTGCGTACCCTCCACAATCTCATTCGAGCATTATTTTGTGCTGGTGTTCGCTGCCGCGGTGTTGCATCTACCTTGTACAATAGAGGGTGGTACAGTGCTCTGCTTCTACCGCCTCCAGAACCGAAGCAGAGCACGAAACTAGTCTCACATCTGTACCGCATTGCCTGTTTCCGATGCGCGCTGCACGCGTGTACCACAGTGCTTGCGTGCACCACGGCGCCTGCGTGAACCACAGCAGCCGCTTTCACCGCAGCGCCTGCGCACACCGCAACACGCGGGTGCACCACAGCGAATTTCACTTCTTCGGGAAACCAAAAGGTACCGATACTGCTACTCCCCGGACCTCTCCCGGGGTGCGTTCTGACGAGGATATCGAGACTAATCCAGCGGTGGCGACGAAGGCCTCCCAGGAGGCCCAAAAAGGGGAAAACGGGCGAGGGGGTAGAGGTACCTTTCCCTCCTCCGACTTCTGTCGTAGAAGTGGGTTCTTCGCAGTCTGGGCGCCCCTTGGCCAAAAGGAGAAAGCGGGCAACAATGGTGCCTGCAAGCACGCACGATACTGGCGAACAACTGCGAGAAAACACGATCGCCTTTCAGCCGGCGCCCCAGTAGCCTGCGAGCACCGCAGCGCGCCTGTGAGCAATTAGCTGCATTTGCGACGGCCACACGCCGGAATGGACTTTCGGTGCAAGCCTTTCAGATAACGCTGCGAACCTCGAACCTGGAACCTTGATCCTCCGACCAGTACACAGTCAACAGAAGTCCGCTTGACCTCAGCTCGGGTCCAACCGTAGCCAGATGTTCGAGCTTCGCGCGGCCGCGGCGACAAGGGCCTCCAGAACCGCCCCGAAAACAACCGGAAGGACAACGACGACGCCGACGACGACGCGGGGCGCGCCAGGGGCGGCGCCAGAGGCGCCGCCAGGGAAACCCAACGCCGATCCCTGAAATCCCCTAGAAGCTCCGAGACGTGATGTTTATGCAATTTGTCTTCGTCCCTCAGAATACCTTCTGCCTGAAGAACTTGAGGTACAAGCGCGCATCATGCTTTAAGACTATAATTAGCCACCCACGATCTCCAACTATGGGGACGACGACGACAGCTACGATGATCGCGACGACAATGACGACCACAATCAGGAAGCAAGCGCCAACAAGGACGACTACTACGACTCCGATCCCGACGACCACACGTCGACGACCACGATGACGACCGCGACGACGATCACGACGACTATGACGTCGATCGTGACGATTACGAATGCTACAAGTCCGACTGTCACGACGACGCTTACAACGACGACCAAATCCCGACGACGACTATTGCTACAACCAAAATGAACACGACGACCATGGCGTTTTCGACGACGACGACAACAATTACGGCAAACACAACAACGATCATCACGACCAGAAGACAACCATGACGACGATAGCAAGGGAACCCGTTCCCCCCTTCAACTCCTTCTCCTCCTCCTCCTGCTATCATTGTTATTGCTACGATTGTTGCCACTCATTCTGCTACCAATGCCACCACCACAACTCTCGCGGCCCTGCCAGCACCAGAGTACAGGGTGACCCCCCCGCGCGCGTGGGTAACAACTGTCAGAAAATGCCTGTGCGACAGTAGCCTGCGAGCGCAGCACCATGTCTGCGAGCACGGGCAATGAGCCTGTCAACGCCACGCTAGGCCGCCAACGTCAAAGTGGCGCGCGAGCACCACAGCAGCCTGCGAGCAACAAAATGGCAGTGCCGGAGGCGCACTACGGGGGGGGGGAGGGGGGAGCGTGACGTTCTGGGGGGGGGCATGGGGGGCATAAGGGATAAAAAAAGAACACGCTCATGCCTGCGAGCGCTGGGCCAGAGCGGCTGTGTACTCATTGCAATGTCCTCCAGAAGCTGCAATGATTCACGCTTGTGGCCCCACGGCAGCACACACGGATGACCTCCCCACGGCGGCGCGCCGTCGCGACTGCCCTTGCCCCTCCTCCTCCTCCTCCTCCTCCTCCTCCTCCTCCTATCTCCTCCTCCTCCTCCTCCTCCTCCTCCTCCTCCTCCTCCTCCTCCTCCTCCTCCTCCTCCTCCTCCTCCCCCTCCCCCTCCCCCTCCTCCCCCTCCAAGCGTTACACAGGGAGAAGGCACCCGGTAGGCCTCTCAAGAACAGGCACCACAGGGTGACCAGGAGGCGGACGACGGCAGCGGCGACGGCGGCGAGAACGGCGCGATCGAGGAGGAGGAGGAGGAGGAGGAGGAGGAGGAGGAGGAGGAGGAGGAGGAGGGAGGAGGAGGGAGGAGGGAGGAGGAGGAGGAGGAGGAGGAGGAGGAGGAGGAAGAGGAGGAGGAGGAGGGCCACGAAGAGGACGATACCGCCGGGGGGCGCGTAAACATGGATTAGCGATCCACGGATTTGGTGCGCGGTCGTCACATCCATGGATCGGCGGAGGTGCCCTCCCGAAAATGCGGCTGGTGCCGCCTCGCGCGGCGGCGGGTGCCTGCGATCTCCCACGGAAACAGGGCCCGTCGCTGTCCACGCCCCATTTTGATCCATGCTTGCGATCGCCTGACTTCCCCCCACTTTTGGATGGGTATGGGGCGCTTTCGGCCCTCAAAGGGATGCTTTCGGCCCTCAAAGGGTTTGAAATGGAACGGTAAGAGGATGACGAAGATGATGAGGAGGAAGATGAAGAGGAAGGAAGGAAGGAGCACCGAGCACGGAGGAGACCCGCAAACGCTCCACACCCATCCAGTCTGGCGCCCTCAATCCCCCCTTCCGCCCAGACCGAGCCTGGCTCGTACGGCGGGACGTCCTTCGGGTCGTAGGCCGGCTTCCACCATTCGGGCGGCTGCTCGAAGTTCTTGGGGACGTGCGGCTGCCTCCTGCGGCGCACGATGCTGTCCTTCTTCAACGGCTTGAAACCGGCGCCCTCCCACCTGGGGGCCCGACCTCGGTGGCAACTCACGGGAGCCTCCAATGCACCATCTTGTCGGCTCTCTCGCGAATCGACGCTGATCGACGCCAGTCGACGCCAGATCGACACTAAATCGACGCCAGCCGACGCCCGATCGGCCCTGCCTCATCGACTCCCAGACGCTCATCGGCGCGAGTCGACGCGAGAGACGGAATGAAAGGGTCTGCCAGGCGCCCATGGCTTGCCACCGAAGCCGATCGAGCCGGGCAGGCCCGACTATCGCGGCCTTTGAAGGTCCGCCCGGCACGGGGTCGGGAAATCGCAATCCCAGACCCCCTCGCTTCGTGAAAAATCCGCCGACCCCTTGGGGTCATCGGCGTGTGAGATGCTTCCCCCTCCCCAAACCCCTTCCCCCGGGGCCCGGTCCGGTCGGTTTGGAGGGGGGGAGTCCGGCCGGCCCCGGTTGAACGCGCCACGGGCCTCACGACGGGCCATGAGGGCCCCAAGAGGTCCAAAAGATGGTCCAAGAGGGCCCCGAGTCGCCGATGGATCGTTCCAAGACGCCCAAGATGGCCCCCAGACGGCCCAAGAGGCCCCCGAGACGCCCCAAGAGGCCCCCAGGAGGAGTCCCAAGAGGGCCCCCAGACGCAAAAATCGTCCCATTCACTTGGGTAATCCTATGATTATAGCACAGTCGCCTCTTGGGCTGTCACAACGTCCAAGACGGCCCAAGAGGCCTCCAAGATCACCCCAAGACGGCCCAGGAAGCCCCCAAGAAGGCTCCAAGACGGCCCACAGCTCCAGGAGGGGCCCCAGGCGGGGGACCCGAACAGAAATTTCGAGCCCTCGGCCCCAAGAAATCTCCAGGAGGCCCCAAGAGGCCCCCAAGAAGCCCCCAAGAGAATCCAAGAGGCCCACCAGAGGCCCAAAAGAGGCCCCGAAACGGCCCCCCAAAGGCTTCAAAAGTGCTGCCAGGAGGTTCCCGAGAGACCTACCAGGAGCCCCCCAAAGGGTCGGCGGTTCGACGTAAGCCAAAGGGTCCACGTCCGGACTGCAGCGAAGCGTCTCGGCAGTCCGACAGGACGGGTGTGTGACGCAAGGGCCCAGCCACGATGCGTCAAGAAGGGCAATTGCCAAACATTGCACTAGTATGCATTGCAAAGCAACCACCCTTAATCCTCCCCCCAGGGCCGCCGCCGAGTCGCCGACCCTTTCGTGCACGAATGCTAAAACCTACAAGAACCTATGGAAATCCGCCGACCCCTTGGGGATCATCGGCGTGTGAGATGCTTCCCCCTCCCCAAACCCCTCCCCCGGGAGCCCGGTCCGGTCGATTTTTTGGAGGGGGGGGGGGTCCGGGACGAGCGCAGCACGGCCGGGACGAGCGCAGCACGGCCGGGACGAGCGCAGCACGGCCGGGACGAGCGGTTCACGGAGCTTTTCCGGGCCCAAGAGGGCCTCAAGACGGGCCAAGAAGCCCCCAAGAGGCCTCCAAGACGGCCCACGAAGGCCCCGAGACGCCAAACGACCGCTCCAAGACGCCCAAGATGGCCCCAAGACGGGCCAAGAGGTCTCCAAGACGGCCCCCGAGGTCCCAAACAAGCCTCCCAAGAGGACCCCAAGAGTCTAAAATTGTTGATTTTCCATGTTGTTTTTCAATGTTTTTTGCTTTTCTGCCTTTTCGGCTTCCCGACGCTCCAAGACGGCCAAAGAGGCCCCCAAGAAAGCCCCAAGATGGCCCAAGAGGCCCCCAAGACGGCCTCCAGACGGCCCAAGACGGCCCCAACACGGCCCAAGAGGTCCCCAAGACGGCCCAAGAGGGCTCCAAGACGGCACCAAGAGGGGCCCAAGAGGGCGACCAAACATGTTGAAACTCTAGCTTTCTGCCCCCAGGAGCCCCAGGGGGCCCCAAGAGTGCCCCAAGAGGCCCCCAGAGGCCCTCACGAGGCCGCCCAGACGCCCCAAGGAACCCCCAAGAAGCACCCCAGAGGCTCCGAAACGGCCCCCAAGTGGCTCCAAAACTC